AAGGCAGTAGTGCAACCACAGGTCACTGCCATCTCCTCCTCCTGGGCTCAAGCAGTCCTCTCACCTCAGCCTCCTAAGTAGCTGGGACTGTAGACACATGCCTACCATGCCTGGCTAATTTTTGTGTTTTTTGTAGAGATGCGGTTTTGCGATGTTGCCCAGGCTGGTCTCAAACTCCTAGGCTCAAGCAATCCCCCCACCTCGCCCTCCCAATGCGCTGGGATTACGTGTGTGAACCACTGTGCCTAGCCTTACTTTAATCACTTCTATTTAATGCAGTACTGGAGTTGTAGCCAGAGCAATTAATCAAGAGATAGAAGTAAAAGGAGCGCCCACATCAGAAAGGAAGAAACTAAATTGTCTCTGTTCGCTGATTACATTATGTTATATATAGAAAATCCTAAAGACTCCACCGAAAATTGTTAAAACTAGTAAATGAATTCAGTAACATTTCAAGATACAAAGTCAACATTCAAAAATTAGTAGTGTTTTTAGACACGAACAATGAACAGTTCAATAAAGAAATTATGAAAACAATCTCATTCACAATAGTTACCAAAAAAAGAAAAAAACCTATGAATAAATTTAATCAAGGAGGAAAAGACTTGTACACAAAGAACTATAGAACACTGATGAAAGAAATTGAGGAACATACGAATAAATGGAAAAATATCCTGTATTCATGGATTGGAAGAGCTAATATTGTTAAAATGGCCACACTACCTGAAAAGATCTATAGATTTTAGTACCATCCCTATCAAAAATTCAATGACATTTTCATAGGATTGGAAAAAAACACTTCTGAAATTTCTATGGAACCACAAAAGGCCCCAAATAGTCAAAGCAGTTTTGATAGAAAAGAACAAAGCTGAACACATCTCAGTATTTGACTTCAAAATATACTACAAAGCTGGCCAGGTGCGATGGCTCACGCCTGTAATCTCAGTACTTTGGGAGGCCGAGGCGGGTGGATCTGGAGGTCAGGAGTTCAAGACCAGCCTGGCCAAGATGGTAAAACCCTCCGTCTCTAGTAAAAATACAAAAAATTAGCTGGGCATGGTGGTGGGTGCCTGTAATCCCAGCTACTTGTGAGGCTGAGGCAGGAGAATTGCTTGAACCTGGAAGACGGAGGTTGCAGTGAGCCAAGATGGTGCCATTGCATTGTAGCCTGGGAGACAGAGTGAGACTCCATCTCAAAAAAACAAAACAAAACAAAACAAAAAAAACTTCAAAGCTATAGTAATCAGACTAGCATGGTATTGGCATAAAAACAGACATAAACCGATGGAACTGAATAGAGAGCCCCAGAAATAAACCCACACATTTATGGTCAGTTGATCTTCAACAAGGGTGCCAAGAATACGCAATAGGGAAAGGAGAGTCTCTTAAATAATGTTGGGAAAACTGGATATCTACATGAGAAGAATGAAATTAGACCCTTACCTCACATCATATACAACAATTAGCTCAAAATACATCAAAGTTTTATCTTGGAAAAAAAAATTTTTTTTTTTTTTTTTTTTTTTTTTTTTGAGACAGAGTTTCGCTCTTGTTACCCAGCTGGAGTGCAATGGCGCGATCTCGGCTCACCGCAACCTCCGCCTCCTGGGTTCAGGCAATTCTCCTGCCTCAGCCTCCCGAGTAGCTGGGATTACAGGCACGCACCACCATGCCCTGCTAATTTTTTGTATTTTTAGTAGAGACGGGGTTTCACCATGTTGACCAGGATGGTCTCGATCTCTTGACCTCATGATCCACCCGCCTCGGCCTCCCAAAGTGCTGGGATTACAGGCTTGAGCCACCGCTCCTGGCCAAAAAAAAAAATTTTTTTTTTTTTTTTTTTTTGAGACAGGATCGCACTCTGTCACCCAGGCTGGAGTGCAGGGGTGTGTTCTCAGCTGACCAGAACCTCTGCCTCCTGGGTTCAAGTGATTCTCACACCTTAGCCTCCCAAGTAGCTGGGACTACAGGCATGCGCCACTATACCCAGCTAATTTTTTTGTCTTTTTTTTTTTTTGAGACCGGGTTTCACCATGTTGGCCAGGCTGGTCTTGAACTTCTGACCTTAAGTGATCCACCTGCATCTGGCCTCAAAATGGATAAAAGGTTTTAATGTAAAACCTGAAAACTACCAGAAGAAGACATAAGGGAAAAGCTCTATGACATTGGTCTGGGTAATGAATTTTTGGATTTGACCTCAAAAGCACTGGCAACAAAACCAAAAATGGTCAAGTGGGATTATATCAAACTAAAAAGCTCTGCACAGTAAAGAAAACTTATCAGCAGAGTGAAGAGATAACCTATAGAATGGGGATGATATATTTGCAAACCATATATCTGACATGGAATTAATATCTAAAATATGTAAGGAACTCAATTCATCAAGAAAACAAAAAAATTAAGTAAAAAATGGGCAAAGATCCTTAAAAGACATTTATCAAAAGTAGACATACAAATGGCTAACAGTTATATGAAAACGTGTTCAGCATCGCTATTCATCTGGGAAATGCAAATTAAAACTACATTGTACCTCATACTTGTTAGAATGGCTATTATAAAAAAGATAACAAGTGTTGCCAGAGATGTTGAGAGAAGACAAACCTGTACACTGGTGGTCAGAAGGGAAACCTGTACACTGGTGGTCAGAAGGGAAACCTGTACACTGGTGGTCAGAAGGGAAACCTGTACACTGGTGGTCAGAAGGGAAACCTGTACACTGGTGGTCAGAAGGGAAACATGTACACTGGTGGTCAGAAGGGAAACATGTACACTGGTGATCAGAAGGGAAACCTGTACACTGGTGGTCAGAAGGGAAACATGTACACTGGTGGTCAGAAGGGAAACATGTACACTGGTGGTCAGAAGGGAAACATGTACAGTTTTGGTCAGAAGGGAAAACTACACCGGTGGTCAGAAGGGAAAACTGTACAGTGGTGGTGACAAGGGAAACCTGTACACTGTTGATAAGAAGGGAAACCTGTATGCTGTGGGTGAGACTGTAACTTGGTACAGCCATTGTGGAAAACAACATGGATATTCCTCAAAAAATTGAAAATAGAATTACCATGTGATCCAGCATTCCCACTTCCAGGTATGTATCCAGAGGAGTTGAAATCAGTAGGTGGAAGAGATACCTGCTCTCCCATGTTCATTGCAGCACCATTCACAGTAGCCAAGATATCAACCTAAGTGTCCATTCACAGATGACTGGATGAAGAAAATGTGGTACATATGCACAATGGAAGATTATTTAGCCTTTAAAAGGAGGAAATCTTGTTATTTACAACGTTAATAAACCTGCAGACCATTGCTTTAAATGAAATAAGCCAGGCATGGAAAGACAAATAGTTGGGATCTCATTTCTTTTTAGAACCAAAAAAGTCAAATTCATAGAAGCAAGAGTAGAATGGTGGTTCCCAGGGCCTGGAGGTTAGAGGAGTGGGGATTAGAGATGTCGGGTTAAAGGATAAAAATTTCACCTCGACACGAAGGGTAAGTTCAAGAGATGTATACTGTGGTGACTATAGTTAATAACAGTGTATTCTATACTTGAAAATTGCTTAGACTCTAGACTTCAGATGTTCTTATGACAAAAAAGTGAGTATGTGAGGCAGTGCACATATTAGCTTTATGGTGCCATTTCACCATGTGTACCTACTTTAAAATATTATGTTGTATATTCATCAGTTTAAAAAACTATTTTTTAAAAAAGTATTGATGTTGAAAAGCCTGATTATCTAATTTTCTTCTCCTGTAAGTCATTTGCACACTTTGCCTAGATACTCAAATATTTTTTCTTTAAAGTACAATAACTTTACTAGAATATGTTATGCTGGTCATTATAAAGCAGATATTCTCAGGTGTACCATGTGTTCTGTCAATATATAGGTTATAAAAACCTTTTTTAAAGAATATTTTTTAAAATTTTGGTTTTTAGTATATGCTGTGTTCCCTAACTTTCTGTTCTTCAAAAAACTCCTATTTTTCATGTTAGATTTTTTTTGCCTGTTAATATTTTTCACCTTTTTTTTTTTTTGAGACGGAGTTTCGCTCTTGTTACCCAGGCTGGAGTGCAATGGCGCGATCTCGGCTCACCGCAGCCTCCGCCTCCTGGGTTCAGGCAATTCTCCTGCCTCAGCCTCCTGAGTAGCTGGGATTACAGGCACGCGCCACCATGCTCAGCTAATTTTTGTATTTTTAGTAGAGACGGGGTTTCACCATGATGACCAGGATGGTCTCGATCTCTTGACCTCGTGATCCACCTGCCTCAGCCTCCCAAAGTGCTGGGATTACAGGCTTGAGCCACCGCGCCCGGCCTCTAGTAGCACTTTATTTACATAAAAGGCGGCAGGCCAGATTTGAGCAGTAGTTGTCAACACCTGCCCTTTTTTTTCTTCTCTATAAAATAAGATTTTTAAGGAAGTCAACAGGAAAATAGAACAAGTGAATATTTTACATTCTTAGTGGTTTATGGTTGGCAGTTCCTTCCCAGCATTTTGTTACGAAAAGTTTAAATGCACAGAACTGAAAGACTTATGCCCACCAGCTAGATTCTGTTACTAACATTTTGCTGTATCTATTTGCTTTGTCACTGGACTGTCTATGTATTTGTCCCTCTTTCCAACCATCAGTCTGTCTTTTGTGTAAGCATTTCAAGTAAGTTGACTGGTAATTTTCCTAAGCAGACATATTTTTATTTTGTTTCTGATTTTTTTCCTGGATGTTGTAATTACAGTATCAATACATTTTATGCAGATGTTTCAGCTAATGCCTTTTCCTATTTCTAGAAATCTGAAATTGCCAATAATCTCTGTCAATCTTAAATTATTTTTTAAAAAAGTTCTGGTGAATAGTGTCAGACTTGATTAGTGCCTTCTTTCTCCATTGTTTTGTCATCCAGACAATTAAAACTGGTAATCATGAAAACATAATTTATAGTGGTTTTAAAACATGATTTTCTAATTTTAAATACATTTTTATTCATATTATGTTGTTTTCAGAGTGGAGAGATCTACAGACCAAGTCATCAAGCCAGTCAATGTAGGAGCTCTATCAAAATGGGTTGGGAAGATACCGCCAGATGTTTTGCAAGACATGGCAGTGATTGCTCCTATGCTTGCTAAACTTGGATATGACCCATATGCCAACCCACCGAACTACGGAAAACCTGATCCCAAAATTGTTGAAAACACTCGAAGGGTAAGTGAGATTTTTAAAAGCAACTGAGAAAACTAGATTTGGAATTTGGGACTTGAATACTTTTTTCTTATTTTATTTCTTACTATTTAATGATCAGAAAAATATTTTAAATTAGACAAATTTGGGCCGAGCCTAGGGCTGACACCTGTGATTTCATGACTTTGGGAGGCCGAGGTGGAAGCGAGCCCAGAATTTCAGTACTAGCCGGGAAAACATAGTGAGACTCCATCTCTACACGAAAAATAAAGAAACTAACCAGGTGTGGTGGCGCGTGACTCTAGTCCCAGCTACTTGGGAGGCTGAGGTGGGAGGATTGCTTGAGCCTGAGAGGTCAAGGCTACAGTGAGCCGAGACTATGCCACTGCGCTATAGCCGGGGTGACAGAGCGAGACCCTGTCTCAAAAAAAGAAGAAAGAACAACAACAAAATTCTATTTGTAGAATACTTTCTTTCTTTTTTTTTTTTATTTATTTTTTATTTTTTTTTATTTTTTATTTTTGAGACGGGGTTTCGCTCTTGTTACCCAGGCTGGAGTGCAATGGCACTATCTCGGCTCACCGCAACCTCCGCCCCCTGGGTTCAAGCAATTCTCCTGCCTCAGCCTCCCTAGTAGCTGGGACTACAGGCGTGCGCCACCATGCCCAGCTAATTTTTGTATTTTTAGTAGAGACGGGGTTTCACCATGTTGACCAGGGTGGTCTCGATCTCTTGACCTCGTGATCCACCCGCCTCGGCCTCCCAAAGTGCTGGGATTACAGGCTTGAGCCACCGCGCCGGGCTGTAGAATACTTTCTTATCAGAAATTTTCCACTGCATTTTAACGATAACTGGCTCTTTGGGGATAGTTCTTAGGGTATTTTGCTCAGTTTCTAGGAATGATACTCACTCTTGGGAGATTTATTCTCAGCCCATTACTGCAGATCTGTATAAGTATCAGAATTATTAGTGACCTTACTTCTGATTTCTTTTTTTCTGTAAATCTAATAGCTACTCTACTTTTAAACCTTTGTTTAGATGAGGCATAATTTTTGGATACCTAAAAGCTAAACAATGGCTGTGCTAGAAAAATTATTAAACACTAGTCTTCTGATTAAAAGAAAGTTGCTATTAAAGTGACATTACAGTTTTTCTAGTAGTAAGTTATGCTCATGTCTTTACAAAATATTGTTTCAGAAAGTGCTGAAAACTCAGAGCTAATTCAATTATTTAGCCTACCAGTGGAGTCTGTTTCAAATCAGACCTTATACATTTTTTTAATGCAGTAAGATATATTTAACATAAAATTTACTACTCTAGCACTTTTAACGTGTACAATGCAGTGGCATTAAACACATTCACATTGTTGTGCAGCTGTCACCACCATCTCATCTCCACAACTTCCCTTGTCTTTTCAAACTGAAATTCTCTGCCCATACTCTTCATTCCCTAGCCCCTGTCAGCCGCAGTTTTTTGAGTCGCTTACATGTATTATTTTTTGAAACTACATTTCAAATAAGACAGCCATGTTAGTATAAGTTCACTGCTAGGCTTTATGATTCCAAGGTGAAAATTCCTTGGCTTTATCTGCTATTCTGCTGTTTATATTAATGTCCTTCCCTTCCTACAACCATATGCCATATCATCTCTTTATTCTGTCTTTTGATACCTTTAATTGACAAATTTAAGACACATTTATTTCATGAGATTAATTTCTATGTGAATTCCTTTTTCTTAGGTATTACTATTATTTTCCCTTTTCAATTCATCATTAGCAGCTGTGTGGGAAGAGCTGCCTTCTTGTAAACCATCACATATGAAGTCAAATAAAAAAAATTACCCTTTTTATACTTTTCATATACATAAAAATGTTTCCGTTATAAAAATATAAGTTTATGATATGAAACTTACAAAATAAAAAATATAAGAGAATAAAAACCACCTGTCATGTTCCCACCTACACACATACACATATTATTCTTTTTTTTTTGGAGACGGAGTTTCGCTCTTGTTACCCAGGCTAGAGTGCAATGGCGCGATTTCGGCTTGCCACAACCTCCGCCTCCTGGATTCAGGCAATTCTCCTACCTCAGCCTCCTGAGTAGCTGGGATTACAGGCACGCACAACCATGCCCAGCTAATTTTTTGTATTTTTAGTAGAGACGGGGTTTCACTATGTTGACCAGGATGGTCTCAATCTCTTGACCTCGTGATCCACCCGCCTCGGCCTCCCAAAGTGCTGGGATTACAGGCTTGAGCCACCGTACCCGCACATATTATTCTTAATATTTTCATGTATTTTCCCTCCTCTGCATTATGTTAAGCAAGGGTAAGATTACATATTTTATCATCTTACATTTATATAGACACAATTTTGTATCCAGCCCTTTTCTTTTAATATTCATGAGCATTTTCCCATTGTATGCATGCTTTTTAAACATATGTATTTTTTACTAACATATCTTCATAGATGCCATCTTAAATTCTTTCTGAAACACAGTAGTAAATGAATGAATAAATCAACAAACAAAATACATTTCCCTAGTAGATGTTCTATACTTGATTTTACCTTTTTTCTTTTGTTGTTTAATTTTGTTTGACAAATTGTTCTATAGTGAACATCTTTACACATACTCAATTTTAGAATTTTTTTTTTTTTTAAGATAGAGCCAATGAAAGTAGAATTAAACTAGGGCAAAGTATCTGAGATTTTTAAAAGCTGTTTCATATCTATTGATAATTAAAAAAAAATACTTTTGGGCTGGCTACAGTGGCTTATGCCTGTAATTTCAGCATTTTGGGAGGCCAAGGTGCGTGGATTGTATGAGCTCAGGAGTTTAAGACCAACCTGGACAACATGGCGAAACTCCATCTCTGTAAAAAATACAAAAGTTGAGGCGGGTGGATCACAAGGTCAAGAGATCGAGACCATCCTGGTCAACAAGGTGAAACCCCGTCTCTAATAAAAATACAAAAAGTTAGCTGGGCATGGTGGTGCGTGCCTGTAATCCCAGCTACTCAGGAGGCTGAGACAGGAGAATTGCCTGAACCCAGGAGGCAGAGGTTGCGGTGAGCCGAGATCAAGCCATTGCACTCCAGCCTGGGTAACAAGAGCGAAACTCTATCTCAAAAAAAAAAAAAATACAAAAGTTATCCAGGTGTGGTGGCACATGTCTGTGGTTTCAGCTACTTGGGAGGCTGAGGTGAGAGGATTGCTTAAGCCCAGGAACTTGAGGTTACAGTGAGCTGAGATTGTGCCACTGCACTCCAGCCTGGGTAATGAAGCAAGACCCTGTCTCAAGAAAACAAAAATAAAAAACAAACAAAAAAACCTTTGAACTACCAGCATAATGGAAGTAATTTATTTTAGATTTTTGTTGGTTTTAATAGATTTCATTGATTAATGTAATTGAACATTTTCAAGTTATTAGCTATACGAATATATTCTTTTATGAACTGTGTTTTAAGTTTTTATTTATTTATTTGAGACAGAATCTTGCTCTGTTGGCACAATCTTGGCTCACTGCAACCTCTGCCTCATGTGTTCAAGCGATAATTCTCTTGCCTCAGGTGGGATTATAGGCATGCTGTATCACACCTGGCTGTTTTTTGTTTTTATGTTTAGTAAAGGTAGGGTTTCATCCTTTGTTGGCCTGGCTGATCTCAGACTCCTTACCTCAAGTGATCCACCTGCCTTGGCCTCCCAAAGTTCTGGAATTACAGGCCTGAGCCACTCTTTTAAGTGTTACATGTATTAAAGTTTTGTGAGCTACAGTCTGCTAAAAATGAAGTGTATGTCAGGACTACTTTCATAGTCCGCGATAATCTCTTTGTGGTTGGTAATTCATAGCTTTCTCCTTTGCACAATACTGAAAGGGTTTTTTATAACCAGGGTACATGTACAATGATATTTTCAGGTTTCTCAAGCAGTAGACATTGTAGTTTTCCTACATGCAAATTGGCTTGGCTAGATTATCCTTTGCTTTCTTGAGTGATGGGTTTGGAAAAATGCTGTAGTTTGTATCCATGTGACTAAGGAATCTATTTCATACACACTTGTGGTTTTTGCAAGAATTTAAAAATGTACACTGCAAAAAAACACCTTTTTTCCCCCCGTCTCTGCCTATCTTTATAAAGTGACAGATAATTTTGAGGAAGAAAAGATGAAGTGTGAACTGTAATTTAATTTTTGGGTCTTTTGTAATAATGTATATAAGCTGACATTCTTGTCTTGTCAGGGTAGGTTTCATAAGGTCTTCTTGCAAACTAAATCCTGTGTCTCTTCAAAGCTTTTTTGCTTGTAATAAGTCAGATGGTAATATATCTGGCACTGATGATCATGAGGTTTTTTATAGAGCAGTGCTTGAAAGGAGATCATTGATTTTTAGCAATGATATGAGATGGACCTCAGAGAAAGAGGTGGCTGGGGAAAGTGTTCTCCTTAGTTATGGGGTGAGAGTGGGAAAAAAAATCACATTTTGACTGAGAATATAGAATTTTTATCTCTAGGCCTTAAAATGCTGTTTTTCATACAATTCTGGGTAGTCTGCAAGTAATAATGAGTCAGCACATTTTAGGGACATATTTTGTCCAATATTGAATAAATAATTATGTGCTTCATGCTTACTATGACTCACATAGTAAATTTGTAATGAAATGTTAACATATTTTGTACCCTCTCTCACCATAGTCTCTAATCCTAAAATTATAGTACATTTCATTACATAGTGCTGTCTAGGTTACATCCTCAGCCTTCTTCTTGCATTGATTCTTAACCTTTTAGACTTAGGAACTTATTTGAGAATTTGATGAAACCTGTGGATCCCCACCTCAGAAGTACAGACAATTGAATACACAGATTTTACCCACAATTTCAGTGGGTGCATAGATGCGCCAGAAGCCCATCAGAGTAAGGATTCCTCTTACCCACAATTTCAGTGGGTGCGTAGATGCTCCAGAAACCCGTCAGATTAAGGATTCCTCTTACCCACAATTTCAATGGGTGCATAGGTGTATCAGAAGCC